ATTTAGTTAATTTTCATTATAGACAGCTTTATGCCTTAAAGTATTTTTCTGAGGTCTGTCTTATCAGGTAAATTACTGTACACAGTGTATTCATTAATTTTCATTTTCATGTAGTAAAGGCTCTATGCCTTCATAAAGGATGTACTTTTCCTTTGTTTAAGAGTATTTGGGCAGTTTATTCTGTTATATTCTCAAGTAAACAATACATACAAGTACAGTACAGTATTTTCTGAGGAAACACTCACACTTATTTTTTTAAACCCCATTCCCGATAACCTGGCATTTTCACAAACTCGGCCACTCTTCGGTCCACATTAGGCCGAGTTTGAGACTCTACTGTACTATTAATTGAATACCAAGTATGCAATACCAACTCAATGACTTTTCAATTGTATAATGAACATACATGACTTGCAGTAGAGTTAGCTGTTAAGGATAAGGCTAGAGATGTTAAATTTTCTATTCTTTTTTTACTAAAATCTTTTATTCCAATGTATATATCAGAAAAATTAGAGAAAAAATCTATATATATTTCCTCCTTTTAAACAAGATGTTATCACACATCTCCGACAAACATCTGTCATATGAGTCAGGATAAATGTCCTGTTTGAGGATAGAATATCCCATCAGGTGTTAAAAATCCAGAATCCTGATTGGAAGGAATCTGGGATAAAAAGGGGGAAGTTCCCATCATTCGGGGCAGTCTACAAAAGAAGAGATTTGCCATACTTGACAGGCAGTCAAGAGAAACTGACATTTCCATAAGAGATGGCCCTAGAAGGGGACAGAAGATTCTTGCATAGAAGCAGTCAGGCATTGAAGTCCCATTTTGCTATTCTACAGCCCTCCTGTGTCTCCATATTTTATATCATTTAGAATGCATCAATCAGAGATATTCTTTTATAGATTTATGTAAATACTCTCATTCATCCTTTAGAGGTGGATCCTGTTCATTTAGTTTATAGTTTATTTCATTGTATACTTAGAATTTAAAATATATTTATATATAGCAAGTGTTTTTGTAAATACTTTGGTCTCATAATTCAATTTATATGGACACTGGTTGAACTTACCTGTGACTTCCCTCCCCACTCGCATTTTTAGTCCCTCCTATATAGCCATCCACCGACAGAGTGAGTGGATCCAACGATTAGAGGATTACAATAGCTCTATATCCTCGCACATTATTCTCACACAGTGCACATGGAAATGTTTAAACAACGGTTTCTATTGTTCATTGAAATGAGCTGAGTTAGGTGTGTTTAAAATGTATTAAAATTCAGCAAAATCCAGAATGCCAAAGCTTGGACATCTTGTTAGATGCAGAAGTTTCATTTCTCATGATTTCATATCAACATTTTCACAATCAATTTCCTTTAAGATCAGAAAAATCAAATACTTGTTCACATAATTTAGATCCAGTATTTCATTGTAGATATTATTATTATAGAATTGAGATAATTTTGAGAAAATGTAATCACTTATCATCATCATTAAAACAGATTTAAAATGTGTGTTACAAATTTGGCTTTTTGAAAAAAAATTATCTTTGTTAATATTTTCAGATTCATTTTTAACTTCCCACAAAAGAAATCTTCAGGATCCTTCTCATAGACTATGTAACCTATAAATTTTAATTTTAAAGCCTTCCAAAAGCAAGCAAATAGGCCTGCTGCACAGCAATGAATTCATGCAAGATGGCCAAAGTTTTAACTTATCAGATCCTGACAATCTGGGGACTTTACTCAAGTTCTGATCAACAAAAATTTTTCATGGATGATCTCTGTCCCAGATGTGTTGGGATTTGTCCCTTACTATCTGATTACCTCCATAGTTGGCTCTACCAAATCCATGACGGGTATGATAAAAATAGGACTATCAGTTCATCAGGACAGTTTTAAATTAAAATAGTTATATGACACTAAAGAGAATTAATCCAAAAATTTATTTAAGAAGTTGGTTATCATCTTTTCATTAAATTAAATACATATAGTTACTATAGTATCTAAATTATATTTTTGGTATATTTTTTAATAATGTGGTTATAAATAGTCCAACAATACGCTAAACTGTCTAAATCATCATTTGTGATAATTACATTGAACATAAGTAATTTTAGTTAGATTTTATCAAAAATATTTCAGTTGTTTAAATTTGATCAGTGTTTAATTGCTGTAAATTTTGCAAAATTAAGAATTCTTCAATCTCTCTGTCGATTTTTAACTCCTAATATTTATCATATGAAAGATTTTTCTGGTTCCTGGAAGTCTAAGCATATTATATAAATTTGTTTCACATTAGTCTAAAGAGTAGTAACAAAGCATTTTACCTGAAAGTTGTCTATTTCCTTTGAACCATTCTCTACACATACGAATTTCCCCATATTCTTCTGGACATCTTCAATATTGCCAATTGGAAGTGATTGAAACAGATTAACAAAAGAATTATTCTTAATTTCACTTACAAAAATCTAAAAATCAATGTTTGATTGTAAGTGAAATTGAGAATAAATCTTTCATAAAGCCTCAAAATAAATTGTAATATATTAAATCTGGACTGTGAGGATGCCACAAATTATTCAATGGATGTCCAATCCATCATCCACTAACTTTGTTGATATGTAACCTCTACCTGGAAGACCCCTTCAGATGCTATATTCACAAACTTCTAATGCTATATTGTACATTAGAAATTTGTGACATCAATATTTCCTCTTTGTAAACGTGCATTAACAAACAAGATATTTGTACAATCGGCAAAAAATATGATAATCCTTACCATAATTATGGGAACTTTATGAGCATTTTATAAACTTGTATACAATATTTATAAAACATTAATAGAAATACCAAAAAAAACTTTAATGGAAGACTTTTGTCTACAGAGCATTAAACAATCTACATACGTCATATCAAATGAGATTTCTGGATATCATAAGATAAAATTTTAAAGATTGGCAATATAGAAATTATTTTACATTCAGTCATGCGACTGAAATTACATTGCATCTCGTCACACAATAAATATAATATTGTAAAAACAAACTAGTTTAACTTAAAAATTTTAACTATTCTAGGAAAATATTAAAACTTGGAAAAAAATTTAAATACACAAACTACATTTTTTTTTTTACATAAATTAAAAAAAAATCTTTGTTGCAACTGAACACACTTTATAATTCATAAACTTTTATGACTCAAACTCACAAAATAACTTTACAAAAAATGAAATATCTAAATATAGTTAATTTCAAGTTTTAATATAAGTAGAATTGTCAAGAAATTCCAAGTAAGTCATTTTTTTTCTTTTTTTTGCATTTCAATTCATGTATAATAAATGTTGCATTTATTTCCACCAGTTATTATTTAAAACTGAGAAGTAAAAGTAAGGAATTTTCATAAGCACATTGGGCAACAGACAATTTTGGACCCTTCAATTATATAGTTGAAAAATAAACTTTAAAATGCAACATTTTAAAATAGTTTTCTCAAATATATGCTTTCTTCATTTGTATTAATGATTTATTTACTTTTTTTAAATTGAGTATTACTAAAGTACAATCTGTTTGGTGCTTTAAATCATGACTAGTTTTAAGACTGAATGATGTCATTTTGATCTTTGGTCATTAACAGAATCCTATGTGCTATTTTTTTGTTTTTCTGTTTTTCTTGTAGTAATCCTTCTCTGCCATTAAATTATTTAATTAAAAATAAAAAAATCTTTTTTACCTATCCCTATTTTCTATACCATTTTCTTCCTTTGTTCCCACAGAAAACTTTTTAAGTTCTTCTAAAACTGGAAGGGGTCTGCGTGGCCATATTTTTAATTTTTTCAAAATCAAAGATTGCTTCCAGAGGTTTTCCATTTTTTCCAAATAAGGATATACATTCTGTTCTATCCATTCTGCTACAGTATATTCATCAAAGACCTCGCGCAGTGCCTCTCGGGCAGAACGAATAAGAGATGTTATGGGATAATAATTTGAAGAATATTCAGTCAGTCCCTCGTCTATACGCATAGGACTACTGATGTTGTGACGGATGTTAAATTCTGTGAGCCAAGCTTTATGAATTGTTACATCATATAAATATTCCTTTACTTTCTTAATAACTTCATCTCTGTATTGAGTCAGTCTGAAAACTGCAGAACCAGGGAAAGAACAGGGGTTACCAAGATGCCATAAATGAGGATCATTTTCCAGATCAATGATATTTTTTGAAGAGTGTACTGTGCACTGTAATACTTCCAATACTTTTTTATTTGTGTCTTCGTTATACTGGCCTTGAGTGATGGTCAATAAATTGAGAATTAGAGAAGGAAGGCCAGCTGGTAATAACTCGCACAATGTTGCAAAGTGATCGTATCTTTGCCAGCCTGTGATGGTTATACCACGAAATGAATCAAATTTTGCTCTTTGTTCTTTCATAACTTCTAACCATGCTATATTGTTTTCCAGATGCATTTTTGCATTTGGAACTGTTAAAGTTTCGCCAAAGGCACCTTTGAAGGCACTAGCAGCCCAGATATTGGGGAAAACCTCACTATACATTATCCATATGTTTTCTGGAATAAAGTGATATATATCTTTTACATAAGTCCACACCATTGGTTCTACTAATGAACCTAATTGATATTCTTTCAATTTTTCTAATGACATTTGACGGAGCATGTCATCCCAGATAATTGGGATGATATTATATTTAGTGCGTATGTACTGTGCCACTCTGCTCACATGAGAGAGAAAAAGATCATCACGGTCCTTTCTTACACATTTTGGACAATAGCCTAGATGAAAGACTTCATCACAACCGATGTGCAACCACTTGAGATTTGAATGAAGAGAAACAACCTGATCAATGATAGATTGTATAATAATAAACGATTCATTTCTAGATGGACATATTGATTGTGGAAAATCATCAATTTCACGCAGATGTCTAAATTCTTGAAATTTCAAGATATATTCCAAGTGTCCAAATGTCTGAACCAAAGGAACAACATGAAAATTAAAAGACTCTGCTAATGATAAAATAAACTGAACATCATCTTTTGAATATGCATTTTCTGCTGCAGTTTGGGCTAAATTCTCTTTATAGGGAAACATATCTTCGTATTCTAATAAAATACCATTTGCTCCTGCTTCTTTTAATATAGGGAAAATTTGACTGTAATAACTAATTTTAGGTGGTGCACCTTTTAAATCTAAATGCACCAGACGTAAAGGAGGAATATACCTGATAGTCTTTTCATTTCCAAGTTGTTTTTGAAATGGCCATCGTCGTCCTTTGTTGGATCTTTTTCCGAGGCTGTCACCATTCTGATCTTGTCTTTGTCCTTCCAGATAATTTCCCTGTGAAGTCGGAAGAGCTGACAAATTGCGTCTAGGAACAGAGGTTTCTTGATTTTTGTTATTTTCACTCATTCCAAGAGGAAAGTTGATCCTTTTACCTAAATGAAATAAACTTCCTTGTCCAAGAGAACTATATTGGATACCAACAATGACAAGAGTACTGATGATAAATGTAGCTGCCATTAAAGATTTCCTTCGCCACATTGATGCCATTAAATGTCGGATGCAATGTCGGACTCTTCTAACCAACATTTTTATTTCTTGCTTCAAATTTTGTCACCTATGAAATTTATAAAATAAACCAATCAAAATAGGTATAAAGTTATTTTAATGCTAAATCTATAGAGAGATCATCATCACATTACTAATTTATTAATATTATAGGTTAATTATATTATTTTATTACATTAGGAGTTATACAATAGTTTATATTGTATTGTATTATATTGTATAACTTCTAAACTGATTAAACAACTATAAAATTATAATATATCTTTTTCTATATTATACTATATTATTTTTTTAATTGAAATAAATATTTTAATTACTTTTAAATAATGCAAGTTCATAAATATGTATATATTGTAAAAATTATTAAGAGTAACAAACAGAGCATGAAAGCTGAAAATGATATGCAAAAACTTTTGCAATTTTCTGCATATTTGACAATTATTTCCAGCTTTTGTGTTTTATTTTTTACAAATTATCTAAAATGCAACAGTTGTATCCAATTTTTTATGTCTACATTAAGTTTTAGTACGAAAATTCTGAGAAAATTTAAGTTTTAGTTGCAGTTTGTTTTTCTATTTATGGATTAACCATCAACAATATCAACAAATAGACAATATGATAGGAAAGGAATTGGCTGCTTTCAGCAGTCAACAGTTGTAACTGAACGAAGGTGTTTCAATCGGTAGCTGTTACATAGTTACATCTGCTGAATGATGAGTGATGTATGCATTGGAACAAACAGCAGCCATCATTGGTCAGTTTCAGATAGCAATAGGTAGTGTAAATGAAAGATGCTATTAAACGTGACATCAAAATACCAAACAGTGATACTATAGAAGGCAATCAACAGAAAAGTACTCAACAGCTCCAAAACTGTTGAGTATGCTGAATGCAGTCATTGCTAGATTAAGACACGAGAGTGAGAATTTGAGACAATTCATCATGGCAATGAACTCCTAAACTTTGTGAATATTTTGTTTTTGTCCATTTTCAAAAAAGAAAAAAAAAAAACAGAATATCTAATATTTACACTCATATCTTTTATTAATAAAATTTGAATTGTTCATATTAATATATTTTAGATGAAGTGATCCAGACTAGATTCATATAAATCAAGGGTTGACAATCTATGGCACGTGGATGATTTTCAGTGGCACTCTAATTGAATAGAAATGTAGTAAAATTTATATTTTAATTATTAATTATAGATTTAAATGGAAGTCATAGTTCAATGAAGGCCGTGGTAATTTTAAAAATGAATCTCTTGTTTGTATATTTTTATTACAGCGCATGCATTTATGTTCTGTATCACCATCTACGTGTTATGCAAACATAATTCAATTAACAACTTCAAAATTATACACTTTTGAATTCTGTTATAACTGGACTAATTTTGATAACATATATAATAAACCTGGTAGAATCATGTTGGCACTCGGAATAACACTATAACTTACATTCGGCACAACACCGCTGAAAGATTGCCGACCTTTGGTATAAATCAATGGCATTCAACTGTGTTCTGCAGATAGTGTAAGAAATTTTTTTATTGAGTATATTGAAAATAAAATTTCTGTAAGATACTCAAGTTATTAAATAGAAAACAGCAGCATTAATTAACCCCTTAAGCTCATGTTACAGTCAAACCTTGGGTTACGAATGCCCCTGTTTACAAACAAAATTTTGAACGCCATATTTGTTCTGGTTGCCACACAATAACTTGGTTTCCAAACAAGCTACTCGGCAGAGCTGGCCACCAATGGTCAACTCCTAAACTTCCTAAGTTCAAGAAAGTCAATGGTCCAACCAATCAATGACAGGATTACTGATTCAGAAGTTATTGGTGCTGAGACACCTAGCATCAATAGACATCATAACATGAACCATCAGCGACGACATTATTCAAATTAAATTTCAATGTGCATGCGAGTAAGATACTACTTCCATTTATCAGTACTGTACATGTCGCAATAGAATTTAAATCAAATTAATAAAAACTGCATTAATTGACATTTACATAATAAAAACAACATCTATGAATCTGTGTTAAAAGGCGCTTAACTTAAATAACATTTTATTAATATAATAATATTTAATTTAAATATTTATTAGTACTAGGTAGCCAGTTAATTAAAACTAAAAATAAAACAACAATTAAAACTCTTGTTTTTATACCAAAACTGAAATCAAAATTAATTTTAATTAAAATTATAACAAGCATTTATTTATTGCGACATCATCACAATACCAGGCTGCAATTTTTAATCATATTTTTTAACTAATTTAATATATACAGTATATATGCTCCACCTCAAATTAGCAGTGGCTTGTCCCTGTACATCATACTCTTCCTTTACCAATAGAGTCATGCCAGTATTTTATCTAACACCTTTCAGGGGAAAAATTTTGAATTGAAATAACATGACTTCCAATTTGCATTGGAAGTTTGTAAATAGTTAATCGAGGCCTCCTGTTCCTACGGTTTTCGTGTCCGGTCTCGTCTTTCATCTATCTAACTCTGTTCTCGAGATTAAGGAATGACAGACAGACGACAGCGGCAATTTATAGCTTTACAGTTTTTTCAAATTGAAGCCCAATCACATCAATCAAAAAATATTTTGAAAAGTGTGGATAAAGTACTTGTTAGTCTTGTTTGATTTGGTTATATTTCATCTTGACAGCCAGAGTTGAGTTTATTTATAGCACTTCTTTGCAACATTTAAGTTTCAATTGGTGGTGATGGGACATTTTGCTTTTAATATATATATACATACATACATATATATGTATTATATTGCATTTATAGACACTTTTTATCTATGAAATACAGCTAAAAACGAAAAAAAAGGGCTTTGTTTTGGGGGTTGGGAACAGATTAATTCATTTTACATTGTTTCTTATGGAAAAATTTTTTTGGTTTGAGAACAAAAATCTGTTTCCAAATAACTTTTAGGAACGAATTAAGTTCATAAACCGAGGTTTGGCTATTTTAAAAATTTATTATACATCTAGAAATTTTCAAATTATATATACTCCGGTTTTTATATTTTTGCCTAAAATAATTATCAATATTTAATACTCTCATCATATTACAAATTTAAAAAAAAAATTATGTTTTTAGAAAACAAAATTTTAACATAACAGCATAAATCTTTTAACATGTAGCATTAAACAATATGTATCTTTTAATAATATAGGCCAGGGATGGAAAACTTTAAGCAAACAGTCAAAATTGTCAAATCTACAATGCAACATTTTTCTCGGATGTCAACCAAAATTTTTGGATGCATATTATTCGGGGTCTTAAGTATTTAGAGAACTTTTACAAATAATCAAAAATTCACATGTATATACACTTTAAAAAAACCGATAAATTCTCTACAAAACACGAAAAAATATATATATATAAAAAATGTTAGATATTTATTTTTTATGGCGAGCCCCAGGTTACGAAGGAAAAAGTCGTTGGAGTGCCAAGGATATCCCACATACACTCACTGAGGCCCTCTTTCTTATGTTTTTTCCTCTAGACACAGCCATGCTTGCATATACTTTATGATCTTCCTTGTACCATATTCTTACATTAAGAAACAGCTGTAATACAAATTTATATTTACTTACAACATGCAATGAGTAATGAAGATGTTATCGCTGTAGAAAGTATTCGGATTTTATTAAGTTTTAACTGTAAAAAATAAACACGAAACGGCTATTTTTTAAATAAAATTAATAATAAACAAGCTGCCGCTTTATTAATTTACGTTAAAAATCAAATAATTATTAACTTTAAAAAAATATTTTTCCATCAACAGCGCAAGTAGTTTCTATACCGAAACCGATATAGCGCTATTTAATATCTAGAAAAAAAAATAATAAATAAAAGAAAAACGTTATCGGAGCAATTAGAAACTCGAACTAATACAAACATATTAAACTTGTTAACAATATTAACGAAAAGCGTAGCCGGTAAGTTCCTCAAATTACATCTAAACGACTGAAACATAACGAAGCTATCGATCTTTCGAGTCCCCCCCCCCAATCAGAAGCAGCTTGTATGACGAGGTTGACGTTGCAAACGAATTTGCTACTCATGCGCATTATATTCGAAATGTTTATTTTAAAAGTAATTTCTATTATTTTTGTAAGTCATTTGTTTATTTTGTTGCCCCCAAAAAAGGTCTTAATGTTCGATTCTCTGACGCGTGTATGTTGGCGGCAATGTCAATTCCCGCAGAAAATTTTAATAAATTCAAGGTCGCAGAGCGAAAAGAAAATCTAAATTGTTTTTCCCCCCTTTTCTAATATCACTAGAAGATTTTTTTTAAAAGCCGAATCCTTCTTATAATCGTGTATTCACACGTGTATTTTTCTTTTACTTTAATCTGTTTCGATTTTTCCTACTTGTTGCCTGACATTCGTGTTGAAGATTGAATCATCATAGCGGCCATCTAGAACTCTATACAGTGAATACCGTATAAAAAGTTATATGACCTTCGATGAACATACTCCTGTAATTACTTAGAATTCAGTGGTTAATTAACATCTAAAATATAATTAATAATAATAATGTAAAAGAAGTAATATTAGATTATTTTTAATTATTCGTGAATAATTCGTGCAAATCAGATTTTTAATTAATGGAGTAAAAAAAAAAACGCGATTAAAGTTATTCAATTCAACAGGAAAATTGAATTAGCATATATTTATTCATGTTTAATATCAAATAATATTCTAAAAGATTATTTATATACAATATAAAGAAGGAAATATACACAATCATTCTCTACCTTTCCTGTAATTACATATGAAAGACAGAAGATAAAATAAAAATGCTTTACATTATATTCTTATCTTTTAATATACTTTGAAGGATTCATTTTGGGTATATTTTTGATATTAAAGGATAAGATGCTTTAGAAAACTTCATTAATCCTTAAAGTTAAAGATCATTACTCATAACTTTTATTAAGATTAAGAGTAATAAAATTGAGGATATTTTTAAAATTATGCTTCAACTTCACTCTTTCACACTAAGGTTAATTAATGTAAATGATAAAACATCTTTATTATCCTTAAAGTGGAAGATAATTTTAAGAGTATTAAACGATAAAGCAAGATTTCTATAATACTTAAATATTCCACATAAACAACTAACAAATTTTAGGTCATGAAAATACTCGATATAATTCTACTTGTAAAGTATGCTATAAATTTACTTAAATAATAAGCTTTGATCTTAAGAAAATGATATGTACCAAAGTTTACTTAATTATTACTATTATTTACACTGAATATATCATATCAATATTTAAGAATTGATTTTGCAATAACATATGACGATACACTGCTTTTCTTGAACATTTTATTATATTGATTTATTAGCATGTGCTGGTAAAATAAAGATAGTATGCAAACATATTGATTGCTCATTCTTTGAAGAATTAAAAATATCAACTTATAATGATAATCGATATCAAATCGAATATTTTCCGGATTGAATTTTGTATTATCATTTGCAAATACTTGTTTTATTGAAAATATAAACAATAGTTGAGTTAATAGCATCAAAAGGCTTCTATTTAATAAATTCCAATTTATTTTCAGCAAAAAGAATTGATTTATTATTGATACAAAAGTAAATTGAGGGAGCAGAAGAGAAGGTGTATATATGTCTCCTCAGACATTATAAATTTTCTTAATAGAGAATTAAAATATGCTATACTCTAATACTGAATATTAATAAAACAAACCATTTTATTCTTCATCGGTGCATGATGTTAAAACATGCACAATTACATAAGCATCGGACACTGATGCCATAAATCACGACATGCCTCCGCCAGTATACAAACTAATAGTTTTATAATTATGTATTTATATCATCAAAAATTGTTTATTTTTATAAAAAAAAAAACAAATTATACGCATCAGTTATTAATATTTCACATTTTAAACACTTAAATGAAGTTTAATTTCATTTGTTTCAATATACTAAAAACAAATTAAATATTAAAAAATTTATTTAAAAAAACAAAACAATACTTTAAATATTCAATTAAAAAAATATTTTTAAATTAAAATTATCATTCTATCATCATAAAACTCTGCTATCAATATTGGTTTTCATGTTTTTTAATTGCGCGCAAAGGATTTTATGCAAATTAAACTTTTTGTTTCCAATAACTGGTTCAACAACATTTATTTATTCCTTTATTAATATAAAAATATATTCTTTAATAATAATAATAATAATAATTCCATTAGAATAAAATTAAAATATTCTCAGCATCATTAATAAATAAATAGATTTATTAATGAAGAAATAATTAAATTTTATCATAATGGAATCATTTTTTTTAATATAAATCATAGTGTAAGTGACTTATATAAATATTTTTTATGATTATAATGAAAAATATCTAATGATTTTAATATAATATGTTATTGTAAACATGTTAATGTCTCAAATTTATTAAAATATTTTTAAAGCACATATTGAAAGAAAATGGAATGATGTAATGGAGATGTTACTATATAAATTCTACAGGTGATAGATAAATATATAAATATGAAATTAGGGAGAAAAAAAAAAACAAACCAAATTCTGTATTGATAGAGCAATTGGAAGAATATATTTTAAGAGAATGGCGTCAATACATCTTGAAGTAAAAACATCGGATAAATCGTAGTAGAAATACTTACTATCGAAGAGAATTCTTAAGGAAGAATTTTAAATCTTTTTACGTCGTATGACTCCATTATTATAACGAATAGATTTTGAATCTAACCATCATACCGATAATTTTTCACGGATGTCGAAGAGAAAGAAATCGTAATCCACTCTTCTAGCTGGAAGCTGAACATTTCATCGTATAGATGCCATCTAGTGGTAATAAATCGCAAAACTGAAATATCGATGGTAATTAAATCAAATTTATTTTACGATCTTTACGAATTGATTATACCTGTATTATTATTATTATTCGTTTATAGAATAATTATTTTTTTTAGTTTTAAGTTTTACACTTCTTTTGTAATGTTGAAAATTTTATATATTATATTAGAATTTACTTCGACTCAGCTGTCTTATAAAAGTTAAAGTGACCGGGCGTTCCGGATTAACCGGGACGGTCCCGGACTATACCGTTTTTTTTTTTATTTATAAGTAAATATATTCATAGTTGTGTGGGGTTTAATTGAAGAATTTTTCGAAGCAAATTTTACCCTGTGGGTACTAAGAGAATTTTTTTTTTTTTTAAAGGCAATTATGTTTCAGTCGGGGCAGCTTGAGTGGTGAGGGATGGACCATTCCCGAAAAATTCCTGATTTTTTTCATCCAATCTAAATTCTATACAGTAAGCTACCGCCTAAATCTCTCTGCCATCCAACAGTCTCTATTAGTTATCAAAATTTGCATCATTTAATTATTTGTTTAATCTTTAAATTTGTCTTATTGTATCAAATGTAGGGAAATTAAGGAGTATTTTTATCCTGAATGATACTTTATCTAATTGATAATTGGCTTCACAATCATTTATTTTAGAACTGGTTCAACTGCTTGTTCCACTTTACAATTTTCTTTGAATTTTTATTATTTTTATACAAAAAAAAAATGAAATCCAGCAACGAGTTGCTTAACTTTCCCGACAATATTTAGTGACGTCATCTGTTACGATATTTTATTAAAAAGAACTTATATTTTTAATTATTATAAAATGGCAAAAAAAAAACTTAATTTTGAGAATAGGGATGGATTTTATAAAAAATTGTAAGCGCTAATAACGAGTAAAATCAATATGTCCGATCCTATTCGAGATATGATACGACCAGTTATCTCCCCATCCCGTCGACTTTTAACCACAAAAATTTAATATCATCAATCCCCTTAACACACAAACCTCCTTGCAAAATTTAAGCAATTTTCGACAAAAAGCACAGGAGTTATTTAAGTTTCAAAGAGTGTGAATAAAACCGCACAAACCCCAAATTCTTTTGCATTTCTCGACGTTTCAAGATCCAAAAGTGAAAATCTTGTGGGAGTCATTTTGACCAATCGCTATTATCTATGTACTGTACTTTCCCAGCCGATTAGTAAATTATAATTATTCACACTTAATTTATATGACTCCCATTTATATTGAATTCATGTAACTTATCTGTATGAAGGCAAATTTTAGGCATCTAAATAAATTAAAATCTGGATTTGGTATATGTTAATTTTTGGTCATAAAACCCCAAGAACTCCTCCTCTGGCTGGTCTGTTAGGCTCTGTCCCTCACCACACAAAGCTGCATCATTGTGGGCCTAGCCAAATAACACGGGTCTAATGAGGTCTTCCATGACCACGGGTTGGATGAAGTTGGAAAAAATGTTTTATTAGAAGAAAAGAACAATTTTTTAAAATTACCATGAGACATTATTTCCAAATATCTATATCAAAAATTTTACTTTATTACATGGTTAGATTAAGATAACTTAGTAAGTTGTAACAGAAGGAAACATGTTTGACACAATAGTAGGAACCATTGCATCAAAGACTAGACATATAAGATTATAAATTAAATAATGGAAAGAATACTGTATAAAAATAATTCTTGTATATAAAACTATGGCTGTCAACCTAAAGCAAACCAATGAAAAGTTCAGCTACTTACATAATAAATTATGAATTGATTATTAGTTTAAAACTCAAGACAAGCATATAATTTATTAAAATGCATGACAATAGCAATAAAAGAAATTTTTCGTACAAGCATTGATGAAATAGTGGAATCATTCATCTGGTTAATAATGTTATTCTTTACTGATAGCTTATAAAGCTGTTGATATTATATCAATAAAGTTTTTTTGGTCCATCACGAGCTCAGTCAGGTCCATAACAGGAGTGCAAGATGGTGACTGAGTCTGACATATTCAGGACAAACTGTTCATGAAAAATTCCTGGAGTTCCCTGCCTGAATTCAATTCCAGGTATCCAGATCAGCAGACTAAATGTTTATCCCCCCTCTAATCTTTAAGCTATGGATCTTATAGCATTAAAAATATGTAGGAGTGCAAGATGGTGATGGTGATGGTAGTTAATTCTTGTGTATTAAATATAAATTGCTGTATAAATGATAACAATTTATAATTTATATCAAATCTTTTTTCTGATTCATGTATCAAAATAATAGTCATTGTTTTGATACATGAATCAGAAAAAATAATCAGAATAAATGATTTAAAATGTACTGAAGTATTACACAACATACTATGTAATCCAACATTTGTTTTATTAATAAATACTCAAGCATGCTAATGAGTGAAGTTTGTGCCATGGTAAAAACATAGTAGTATGATACTACTCTTCCAATGTGTGCTAGTATCATACTATTTCTGAGCATGCACCATTTTATAAGACAGATTAACAAAAGAAGACTGAAGAATCCACATAAAAGCAGTGTTGTTGTTTTAATAAAAGTAGTCACACAGAGTCAATTTTGTGACCATTATCATATGTAATAAGCACCTTCCTAAAAAATAATACATAAACTTTTTAAACAATTTAATGATCATGGTTCAATTTTTAAGACAAAACATAGGCATAGCTGGCCTACATCTATGCATATGCTAGATAACATTGACTCTGTGAGAATAGTGATACAAAACCCCAGTAAATAAAAAAAAAATCCTGCAGCAGAATTAGGAACATCCAGACAATCAGTACAATATTGAAAAATGTCTTTCTCATCTATAGAAAATTACTGTATTACCCAAACTTACAGTTGAAAACAAAGAACAGTGCTTTCTAAATGGGCTCAAAATAATGAGGTAATGTTAAATAATGGTTTTCTTATGAGACTTATTTTCACTTTGGATGGTGTAGTTTGTGCATACAACATCCAATTTCGGGTGTTAGAGAATTCAAGAAAAGTATATCATGAACCAAGAATTACAGTCATTACAATCCCAATGAGTCCTACAGGATAGAGCTAGGCTACATACAGTTAATGTTGCTTTGAATTTTCTGCATGAGACTTTCAACTTGCATCTCATCCCAAAGTGATTTCCTGATCAGTTTGCACAGATCCTCTAAATAATCATGATTTAAATCCATGTAATTACTTTTCTTTGGGATCACTTAAGGAAAGTATTTTTCTGAAAAAAGCCACAATGATGGAACTGAGAACAGTAATCATTCAAGTCTGTAATGAGATAAATGAGGATATATGCTATCAAGTGATAAACAATATCATTGTTTGTGTTGAACAAGTAGCCACACAAAATAGTGATCGTATTGAACATTTGATTCATAAATCTCCATGCAATAATCTTACTTTATATATCTGGTTGTAAAGGTAAAATTTAGACATTTTGAGGAAAATTTTATTGACAATTTAACTAAAAATAATTACAGTTCAGTCTTGTAGATAATCACTATTAATAACAATCACATCTTACTACCATTGTTGCATGCTTTCAATCCCATGAATATAGAATAACTGGGGTTTTCTTTGAACTATTTATTGAGTGGCAGGTATTGTCATTGAACTGTATATTGGCAATATGGTTCTGTAGGACATGAAATACATAGTAGTCAGCTGGCTTTAAGTTTGGGCTGTAAGGTGGATGAGGCAGAACCTGTCAGCTCAAAGTGGCCAGCTTCTTTACTCTATGTGCTACACTTTACACAGTGGTATTAGACTTTGTCAATTTTTGGATGAAGTTCTTTGATCTTGGTGTTCAAATGATCTAGTTGTTCACAGTAGCATTCTTTCGTGACAGCAGTGTTGATTTGAAGCAGCTCCATCATGATGATGCCAAACAAACACAGATAATTGCCTTCTTATGTACCATTAGCCCTTTGACATTTGCAAAAGCTAGTTGACCTTACGATGCTTTAACAAATGCTTTGTAGATGAGGTCATTAGCCTTTGTTGCATTGTGGCCACTTTTGAAGTGATAGAGAAACAGCATGCAAATACGTTCTTTTGATAGTTTTGATAGGCATTGCTGATGAACCTATTTCCAATGAAATATGTGATGAAACACCCCTTGGTTACTCTACATATATACTTTATCAAATATTCTGGAACATTTTTTCTCAGTTATTTCTAGGAAAAAACAATTGAAATATCTAAATTTCACATTTACAACCTGATATATTACTTTCTGCTATTGTAATTTAAAGATTTTATTAATACAACAAACATACCAGTTCATGTGCTATCCTATTATATTAATTAAAAAGTCTTTTAATTAATTAAAAATATGTCTAATTAAATTTTTAAATATAAATATGTATAACTTTTTATTTCATTTGTTCAAAAACAATATAAAAATACATTAAATAACAAATAATTCAATATCATCAGCTTTCAGTAGATTCTTTAGGAGTGACCATGGCAACTTTGCGTGATTCTTCATTAAAAGTTTTTGGACATTGCATTTTCGTTGAAGTAATGGGAATCATTTTTGCACCTATTTGAAAATAACCAGCTATCAATAAATAATAACTGTACAAATAAGTACTATGAAACAATACTTTACCTGCTTCACTGTAGGCAATAACCACACCTAATTCTTTCTCAGCTGTTGAAATGAGATAAGACAAAGCATCACCCAATGAAAGCTGAGCATATTAAAGAAAATTTGAAAATCACAAATTATTTTAAATTTAGTTAAATAATAAATGCAACAACTAATTTTCAAAATATTGATAAATTTTAATAAATTTTTATATAGTATCAAAATAAAAGCAATTATATAATCAATAATAATAATTTTAAATTTAATAAAATCTTTGAAATTGCAATAATTTTACTATATTAAAAGCTTTTTGATATAAATTTATTCATTCATTTGCTTTTTATATTTAAAGAAATAAATAATAGTATTAATAAAGCAAACATAGTATTAATTAGCAAACAAACAAGGAGCCTAAAAAAACTTTTTTTATTCAATAAAATGTTTTAGGGACTATCACATCCCAGCTTCTGATCATTCAAATATAGTCATTGCCATAAAAATTAGAGCACCAAGAAGGAGTTGTCAGAATTGAACAAAATTGTATACGTATGAATGAGTGTAGTAGTGATATAAATAAGTGATTACAAAATGAAAGTAAAAGGATCATTTATTGCAGGAAAAACTACAAATGAAAGGAGGTTGTAGTAACCTGTTGGGCCACCTCTAGCATGAATACATGATATGATATGGGTAGACATGGAGGCATAGAGATGCCACATGATATCCTGCAGCATCTCAGTCCACAGTTGCTGCATGCAGTCCTGTAGTTTGGCCATACTCCTAGGCTGTCCAACCTGGCATCCCAGATGATCTGACATGTTCACTTGGTGACAGATCAGGAGATTGGGCAGACTAAGGAAGTATGGCAATGTGGCAAAGGCACTCCTATGACACCCTTCTGTGTGTGGTCAAGCATTGTCCTGTTGAAAAAATGGCTTTTGGGATCCCTGCCATGAGGCAAAACATGTGGCTGCAGGACTAACACTACATTCTTTGATAACCTTAAAAACTGCATAATGTTGTTCATTTATTGTAAGCAACACATTTCTGTAAAGTGAGTGATCAGTTAACGAATAGTTCGGATAGCAAACAAATCAGATAATGAACACTTTCGCAAAAGATTTTTATGATCAAACAATGAACACATGTTCGGATAATGAACACTTTACTGAACAAACATAAAAAGAAGTGACAGAAAATAACAATACTGATTGATTTTCCCTTGTCTTCAAGTTGTAAGGAACCAAGTCTGAGCTTTATTTTTATTTTACTTTTATTTTGCTTTCATTATATTTTGTTTGGGGCTTATGTTTAGTTAAGACGAAGGTTTCCTCACAATTCACCTTAGTAACTTAAAAATAGAAGAAAAACCAACTCACCGACGAAAGAAAAGCGCCATAGAAAAACTCGCGCACACTTGCGCTTCCCGAGCGGAAAAAAGTAAGTCCGCACCGACGAAAAAGGGGGGGAAGACCCCACAACCCAGTTAGGAATCGCTAAACCTTAAAAGAATAAAGCATCCCGATAATTGTTAAAAAGAATAATGTAAAAGGTTAGCGAAGTATTGTCGGAAAATAATCTGCCAGATAAACAAGAAAAATTTAATGTTACAGATAAGTATGTAAATGAGGAGAGTGAGCTCATTCAGAATTGTGACGTCACCTCACACTATAAAGCCTCTAACTCAAGTGAAAACGAACGAGGTGAATTCCTGATAGCAACGAGCTTTGGTGAGCTTCGTAGCAGTGAACGAGAGAGGTGTCCGATAGGATTTTGAAGTTATTCGATTTGTGGATCGACGATTATAGAAAGTCTTGAGAGTTTGAGGAAATAGGTTCCTAGTATATTGAGGTGACGATTAGGATCTTTAATTTATAAGAATTATTGTTTATAAGTTAATTCTTTGATTTTGTCGAATTCCAAAGGGAAATAGAATTAAGTTAGAAATAGATTGATTTGAGTTTGTCGGTTTGATTCTTGTTGAATTTCATTGAATAAATTATTGTTTGATTTTTACTAAATACTGTATATAGTTTATTACTAGAAGTTTAATTAAATAGTTGATTTTGTTATTGACAAACTTTGTCATTATTTAATTCGGTGCACGCTTAAAGTCCAGGCCTGGCACACTAACGCGAATCCGCGTAAAGTACCCGTTAGGGAACGGCTATTTCCGGCACACAGTAGTGTCGAAAATCGTTGGAAAGTCGGAAAAATAATATAGTACTTTACAAAGTAACAATTCAAAACCTTTTGGAGCATGGGAGATGTAACATCGACGCTCAACCCGATACTGATCGAATAGTATTCTTTCAAATTTTGAAACTCTTCCTTGTAATTCTAGCTTTTTATTTATTTTTCTGATAAATAATCTTTTATAGTCTTTGCGAGACTGTTGGATGGGCACTTGTTAAGTTTTGTGTCAGGGTTTGTTTACAAAAGGTGAAAGTTTAACTGTCCTGTTGGATATTCATTAATGTTTTAATACCAAATTTCAAATTTCATCCAGGCCTTGCATTTAAATAATTTTTTGTGGGCTACTTGATTTCTGTTCTCTAAATTTTTGTAAGTGTTTTTCTGAACTTTTTATTTAAAAAAGAAACTGATAATATTATGGAGCCTAAAAAAAAAAGGAGTGTCAAGAACTGTGCTCACTGTAGAAACCAAGTAAGAGATAATAGCCAAGATAGAAAGTGGGCACAAGGTGTCTGATGTTGCTAGGCAGTATGGCTTGAACAGGTCTACAGTAGGCACAATCTTAGCTATGAAAGATATATCAAGAAGTCTCAAGCTGCTAATGAAGTAATGAAAATCACATCTGAGAAATAAATAGTATTTTAGAGCTCATAATGGAACCTGAAACTGATCTGACAACAGAAAAACTCCAAGAACTCTCAAATGAAGAATACCAAGAAACTCAGCAAGATGTTTTTTCTTTTGAAAAACAGGAAGACGAAAGAGGACCAATGTCGACATCTGCTACTAAAGATCTTTTGAAGAAGTGGGAGATGTCAGATCATCCAAGTGGCATCGAAACCAGAATAAGGTTAATGGAGTTGGGGATCTCTACAATTACAATATTATTAATTACTTCCGAAAAACCTGAAGAAAAGAGAAAAACAATCAACATTGGACAGATTCTTTAACCCCCACAAATGGAAAAAACATGACTAATAAAAATGCAAGCCTGCATATATATGTATTTTAACTGTTACATATAAATAAACATAATAAAAAAGTATATATTTTTTATTTTTTGGAGTCTCTGGAATGAATTAATCAAATTTCCATAAAAACCTATGGTAAATCGATAATCGGTTAACAAACAATTCGGATTACAAACAAAGTCTTGGAACAGATTATGTTTGTTAACCGATCACCCACTGCATTTTAGTTTTATTTTTTAACCATTCTAAATGGTCATTAATTCTAACTTATTTGTTATAATTCTTTATGTCTCAAATACTAAAATAACTTAACAAATGCTTTTATTCAAACAATTTTAATAAAAAATTATCATAAAATAGTTTCTTTTTAATCTTAAATTAATTTTAAATTTCCATTATATAATTTCCTGTTTTAATAACTGTTAACAATTACTAGATTTTAATACTCAATGGCAACTAATAAAATTTTTTTTAATTTACAAAAAGTATAGTAAATAAATTTGTTTTTAACAAATTTACCATAACCACATTCTATTTTCTTTAAATGAAATTACATTACTGTAATTACGTTAGAACATATTGAAGAGTAAGTGAATTCTTCAACATTTGTTCTAAAATATATAAAGCATTTCTCGTAAAAAAAAAAAACATTATTTAAAAAGTAAATTAAATATGACATAAATACTATTAGAATGGCATGCATTAACTAAAATAACTTTTAATTTCAAAGTTTGCATTCTTGAAAGGATACAACTCTTCCTAATACAATATCTCCTGGTCGGAAACATTTATTTATTTCAACCTGTAAAATGTAAGATGCTTTATTATTATAATCATGTCAAAAATAAACAATACAATAATTTTATGTAAATATCAAGAATTCCAAGTCATTTTTATATATTTCAAAACAATAAAAACACTTAAATGTAAGTATGGAGTCTGTATTATTAAAAAAAAAATACAGTACTGTACTTTGGCCCCAGAGGTCCACTTTCACAGCAAAACTTGGATATGAACATTAGTTTCTGGGTGACAGGTAGCAGCATTGACAGATTTAACTTTATTCTTTTAAACTCAAAATACAATGCTTTTTTTACTGTATTAACCAATACTGAAAGGAAAACAGTTATATTTTTAAAATGTTTCATTCAAGTTGGTCAATCTCTCTTTAATATGACTTTTATCATTGGGTTCTTTACAGTCATCTAACTAAGACGTCAAAGTAGTTGGAAAATTTTTTACATTAAACATTTTAATTAATTTTACTTTCCCAGCCGATTAGTAAATTATAATTATTCACACTTAATTTATATGACTCCCATTTATATTGAATTCATGTAACTTATCTGTATGAAGGCAAATNTGTTATTGACAAACTTTGTCATTATTTAATTCGGTGCACGCTTAAAGTCCAGGCCTGGCACACTAACGCGAATCCGCGTAAAGTACCCGTTAGGGAACGGCTATTTCCGGCACACAGTAGTGTCGAAAATCGTTGGAAAGTCGGAAAAATAATATAGTACTTTACAAAGTAACAATTCAAAACCTTTTGGAGCATGGGAGATGTAACATCGACGCTCAACCCGATACTGATCGAATAGTATTCTTTCAAATTTTGAAACTCTTCCTTGTAATTCTAGCTTTTTATTTATTTTTCTGATAAATAATCTTTTATAGTCTTTGCGAGACTGTTGGATGGGCACTTGTTAAGTTTTGTGTCAGGGTTTGTTTACAAAAGGTGAAAGTTTAACTGTCCTGTTGGATATTCATTAATGTTTTAATACCAAATTTCAAATTTCATCCAGGCCTTGCATTTAAATAATTTTTTGTGGGCTACTTGATTTCTGTTCTCTAAATTTTTGTAAGTGTTTTTCTGAACTTTTTATTTAAAAAAGAAACTGATAATATTATGGAGCCTAAAAAAAAAAGGAGTGTCAAGAACTGTGCTCACTGTAGAAACCAAGTAAGAGATAATAGCCAAGATAGAAAGTGGGCACAAGGTGTCTGATGTTGCTAGGCAGTATGGCTTGAACAGGTCTACAGTAGGCACAATCTTAGCTATGAAAGATATATCAAGAAGTCTCAAGCTGCTAATGAAGTAATGAAAATCACATCTGAGAAATAAATAGTATTTTAGAGCTCATAATGGAACCTGAAACTGATCTGACAACAGAAAAACTCCAAGAACTCTCAAATGAAGAATACCAAGAAACTCAGCAAGATGTGTTTTCTTTTGAAAAACAGGAAGACGAAAGAGGACCAATGTCGACATCTGCTACTAAAGATCTTTTGAAGAAGTGGGAGATGTCAGATCATCCAAGTGGCATCGAAACCAGAATAAGGTTAATGGAGTTGGGGATCTCTACAATTACAATATTATTAATTACTTCCGAAAAACCTGAAGAAAAGAGAAAAACAATCAACATTGGACAGATTCTTTAACCCCCACAAATGGAAAAAACATGACTAATAAAAATGCAAGCCTGCATATATATGTATTTTNTCAACCAAAATTTTTGGATGCATATTATTCGGGGTCTTAAGTATTTAGAGAACTTTTACAAATAATCAAAAATTCACATGTATATACACTTTAAAAAAACCGATAAATTCTCTACAAAACACGAAAAAATATATATATATATAAAAAATGTTAGATATTTATTTTTTATGGCGAGCCCCAGGTTACGAAGGAAAAAGTCGTTGGAGTGCCAAGGATATCCCACATACACTCACTGAGGCCCTCTTTCTTATGTTTTTTCCTCTAGACACAGCCATGCTTGCATATACTTTATGATCTTCCTTGTACCATATTCTTACATTAAGAAACAGCTATAATACAAATTTATATTTACTTACAACATGCAATGAGTAATAAAGATGTTATCGCTGTAGAAAGTATTCGGATTTTATTAAGTTTTAACTGTAAAAAATAAACACGAAACGGCTATTTTTTAAATAAAATTAATAATAAACAAGCTGCCGCTTTATTAATTTACGTTAAAAATCAAATAATTATTAACTTTAAAAAAATATTTTTCCATCAACAGCGCAAGTAGTTTCTATACCGAAACCGATATAGCGCTATTTAATATCTAGAAAAAAAAAATAATAAATAAAAGAAAAACGTTATCGGAGCAATTAGAAACTCGAACTAATACAAACATATTAAACTTGTTAACAATATTAACGAAAAGCGTAGCCGGTAAGTTCCTCAAATTACATCTAAACGACTGAAACATAACGAAGCTATCGATCTTTCGAGTCCCCCCCCCCAATCAGAAGCAGCTTGTATGACGAGGTTGACGTTGCAAACGAATTTGCTACTCATGCGCATTATATTCGAAATGTTTATTTTAAAAGTAATTTCTATTATTTTTGTAAGTCATTTGTTTATTTTGTTGCCCCCAAAAAAGGTCTTAATGTTCGATTCTCTGACGCGTGTATGTTGGCGGCAATGTCAATTCCCGCAGAAAATTTTAATAAATTCAAGGTCGCAGAGCGAAAAGAAAATCTAAATTGTTTTTCCCCCCTTTTCTAATATCACTAGAAGATTTTTTTTAAAAGCCGAATCCTTCTTATAATCGTGTATTCACACGTGTATTTTTCTTTTACTTTAATCTGTTTCGATTTTTCCTACTTGTTGCCTGACATTCGTGTTGAAGATTGAATCATCATAGCGGCCATCTAGAACTCTATACAGTGAATACCGTATAAAAAGTTATATGACCTTCGATGAACATACTCCTGTAATTACTTAGAATTCAGTGGTTAATTAACATCTAAAATATAATTAATAATAATAATGTAAAAGAAGTAATATTAGATTATTTTTAATTATTCGTGAATAATTCGTGCAAATCAGATTTTTAATTAATGGAGTAAAAAAAAAAAACGCGATTAAAGTTATTCAATTCAACAGGAAAATTGAATTAGCATATATTTATTCATGTTTAATATCAAATAATATTCTAAAAGATTACTTATATACAATATAAAGAAGGAAATATACACAATCATTCTCTACCTTTCCTGTAATTACATATGAAAGACAGAAGATAAAATAAAAATGCTTTACATTATATTCTTATCTTTTAATATACTTTGAAGGATTCATTTTGGGTATATTTTTGATATTAAAGGATAAGATGCTTTAGAAAACTTCATTAATCCTTAAAGTTAAAGATCATTACTCATAACTTTTATTAAGATTAAGAGTAATAAAATTGAGGATATTTTTAAAATTATGCTTCAACTTCACTCTTTCACACTAAGGTTAATTAATGTAAATGATAAAACATCTTTATTATCCTTAAAGTGGAAGATAATTTTAAGAGTATTAAACGATAAAGCAAGATTTCTATAATACTTAAATATTCCACATAAACAACTAACAAATTTTAGGTCATGAAAATACTCGATATAATTCTACTTGTAAAGTATGCTATAAATTTACTTAAATAATAAGCTTTGATCTTAAGAAAATGATATGTACCAAAGTTTACTTAATTATTACTATTATTTACACTGAATATATCATATCAATATTTAAGAATTGATTTTGCAATAACATATGACGATACACTGCTTTTCTTGAACATTTTATTATATTGATTTATTAGCATGTGCTGGTAAAATAAAGATAGTATGCAAACATATTGATTGCTCATTCTTTGAAGAATTAAAAATATCAACTTATAATGATAATCGATATCAAATCGAATATTTTCCGGATTGAATTTTGTATTATCATTTGCAAATACTTGTTTTATTGAAAATATAAACAATAGTTGAGTTAATAGCATCAAAAGGCTTCTATTTAATAAATTCCAATTTATTTTCAGCAAAAAGAATTGATTTATTATTGATACAAAAGTAAATTGAGGGAGCAGAAGAGAAGGTGTATATATGTCTCCTCAGACATTATAAATTTTCTTAATAGAGAATTAAAATATGCTATACTCTAATACTGAATATTAATAAAACAAACCATTTTATTCTTCATCGGTGCATGATGTTAAAACATGCACAATTACATAAGCATCGGACACTGATGCCATAAATCACGACATGCCTCCGCCAGTATACAAACTAATAGTTTTATAATTATGTATTTATATCATCAAAAATTGTTTATTTTTATAAAAAAAAAAACAAATTATACGCATCAGTTATTAATNTTCAGTATAAATTTTCTAAATATGGATTTGTTCGTATTTTAAACCGTATTGGCGACGAAATTAAATATCGAAATGGAAAAGGATTGTCATTAATTGCCGAACAATGGTTTTGACGGCCTTAAGATTTTATTTCTGGAAGCTTTCAGAATATAGCTGGCGACCATTTCTGACATCACAAAGAAATAACCCGATTGGCCGAATGACTCCTAAAACAGGGGAGTAATAGCAAAGAAAGTAAGAGCCAATGTTTTGCCGAAGTTTGTTTAGAAGGCGTTCAGAAATAGATGATCGTCGTCTTTGCAACGCATTTTAAACCACAGTTCAGCCAGCCAACGTCTATAGGCCGTTCTGTTGATAAACATTGTTTAACGTAAACTCTGTCTCTGCAATCGGCTGACAAGTTCTGTTCAAACAGTAACTGAACTTTTTGAATTGTACAAAAACGGAGTGTTAAAGTTGACAACTCTATGCTTATGATAACCTACTGAGTAAGCTGCTTTTTTCAGATTGTTGATATTTCATTTCATTCCTGTGTTATTATTTTTTGAGTGAAAGGTATTTCAGTGTTTGTAGCAATTTTTGTAATGTGCAATTTATGGGAGCAATGATGCAATGTGAAGTTTGCAGGAAAACTTTTACAGAAACTTTTCAACTTTTGAATTAAGCTTATGGAGGTGATGATGCTGTAGGTTGTATGCAGTGTTATGAATGGTTTACCAAATTCAAAAGTGGTCGTCAATTATTTGACACTGACCCTTGACCAGAAAGCATTTGACCTCAACTGATGACACACATATTCAGAAAATCAGAGTTGTGCACCTTGCATTTTTGCCTCAAGGTCAAATGGTCAACCATCAGTACTAAGCAGGTGTCTTGAAACAATTATATGAAAAAATTCACAAAAAGAGACCAGAGTTGTGGCAAGACAACTCAAGGTCCTTCACCATGACAATGACCTGCTCACTCAGCCTTGTCAATTTGCCAGTTTTGTGCCAAAAATGACTGTCCTCCTAGCATCCCTACTCACCAGACCTGGCTCCTTACAATTTTTTCTTGTTTCCAAAATTAAAATCAGTGCTGAAAGGGAGCTGTTTTAATATAATTGATGACATTAAAACAAATTTGTCACAAGCATTGAAGGACAATCCAAAACAAGCTTACCAAGACTGCTTTGCAAAGTAGAAACACTGCTGGGATAAGTGTGTGAATAGAGTAGGGAGTACTTTGAAGGGGACAAAAACCAATAATTTGTAACTTGAAAAATTTTTATTTTTCAAGTCTGTGAAATATGAGATTGCATAAACATTAAAGTAATGTTATTATTTACTTTATGGTTGTTTTTCTAACATTAAATGAAAACAAAAACTGATTTAAATTATTTGAATTAGACTTGTAAGTTAACCTTTACAATTTTTATATTCATTCAGTGTTAACAGGCTCCCATCACAGATCACAACTTCTAAGGAAGCAAGACAAGATCAAATATACTTTTACCAATTGTGTTGGTCAGCTAAGAGTAAATGTATTAGTTCGTTGCATTGTTAAGTTGTAAAAAAGTTTGATTATTGTTGACTAATAGTTTCTCTTTTACTAAGCAGTACATAAAAACTTAGAAGTTTTTAAAAACTAAACCAAATGTTTTTGTTAAGTTGTTCTATCAAAATAAATACTCAAATTATAATGTAAGATATTTACCATGTCTTTCTCTGTTGCTTGAATATCTTCTTTTCTAAAATATTTAAAAATTAATCAGAAAAATATTTGTTTTCTTTTTCAAATTAAAACTCTTCTGAATTTAATTTGATATCATACCTTATAAGACCTCGAAATGGTTCTCTTAAAACAATATCTTCAATACAAAGAATTGCACATTTACAATACATTGGAGTAATGTTTGTAATCTGAAATATTCATTTGTAATAGCTTTTATAAATTGAAATATTATATATATATTATCAAATGTAGTATGTATTAATTATTCAATATATCTAAATGAAATTTATTTTATTTTATAAAAACGTTTGAATGCTGCAAGTCACAACTATTTTTTTACTGGTAACTAAAAATAAACAATACAGTGGTATATCAGGATACAAACGTCCCAGCATACGAAATTTTCAGGATACGACATGAAATTCGAACATATTTTTGCTCCACAATATGAACAAAAACTCACCATATGATGTTACATTAGTTTGCAGTGTCATGATCACATGTTCCTTCTGTTCATCGGTCTCAGTCCACGTGTTTGCTTTGTTGCGGAAGGATCTCACTCGATAAAGGAAATCTTGAGGTATTATCAGAAAGTCACTGATTTTACTGAAAAGAAACATCACGAAAAGATTCACACTGGCCGTATTGCTGCTCAGAGTAATGACATTTACCTAAGTCATTTTAGAAATATTTAAAAGGTAGGCAAAGCCAAACATCTTTGGATAGATATTTTACCAAGTGACCTCTATCCAGTGAAAGTGCTGGTGGAAGTGAAGGAAAGAAAGCAAAAAAGCAGCGAATAAAAAATTTTAAAAATATATAAAAAACAGAAAAGATAAAAAAATTAGTGTTAAGTTATTTTTAAGTTATTGTTACATTATGTTAAGTAAGTTAAGCTTTAGTATCATTTCCCTTCTCCCTCTCATCTGCCATCAGTTTACACCTCCACCATCATCTATCCTCAAAGGTAAATTGCAAATAAAAATACATTTTTTTAATCAATTATTATTCTATTATAGTTATTTATACATTTACAACTACAAAATGCATTTTTCAGAGTTTTCCTTACTAAAATTATTTTTTTTTTCAATGTACTACTTAGAATTAATTTCAGTGTGTTTTTCATGTTGGAACGAATTATTTGGTTTTACATGTAATCGTATGGGGAAAAATGATTCACCTTACGACATTTTCATGATACGATCTCAGTTTCAGAACGGATTAATTTCGTATCCTGAGGTACCACTGTATATCAAGAACCATATAAATTAAATCTTCCAGTAATTTGAAACTTTCAATAAAAGGAAATGGACTGTATTTATTCTAAATTTTCAAAATGTACTTTCAGAAAACAGTTAATAATCTTGAAAATCAGTTTCTAAATCCTAAAATGTTTAGGCTGTAGTTAAGCAACTAAATAAAATATTCAAACAAACTTTAAATATAGAAACTATTAAAACTTTTTCAATTATTTATTTTCATTATCAGACAGATTATAATTACAGTATTAGGTATCAATTTATTTAACCATCATGGAGATAAAACACGATATCATTTCTTTTTATCTAATATATTGATATAAATAATAATTTAAAATAAAACTTTATACATGATTTCAAAATAATCATAATTTAATTTGAAATAATTTTTAACCAATTAAATTATTGAATAATAAAGAAAATACTAATAGCATTGTAATTCATAAATGAACAAAAAACCTAATTAAAAAATATTTTAATATGAAATTTGATTCTAAATATTTATATATTTCATCCTTTATTAGACTGAAATGATGTTGATCTTCATTGAATCATTATGATCTTTATACAATTATAAATGTATCATTTAAAACAATTGTTTAAAACTTTCATACTTACTCTAACAGTTACAATACATCCTATAGTAGGAAGAATATTTTGTTCCGTTCCTCTATTAACTTCTATAACAGATGGCTAAATAAATTATGGAAAAAAATGTAATAAATTTAAAATCATTGGATAATTTTAATGTATAAAAATTTCTTAATATTAAAAACTTTACAAAGTAGAATATTATGTTTAAATAATGTTTTAAATATTAACATATGACAACTGTATTATATTTTTTATCCGTAATTCAATTTTGTATTTCAAACTCTGAAGAAGGAAAAAAAAAACAGTCAATAGTCTTAAATTCTATAATGTTTACATTGCAATCCATCACTTGCAATTCAGAGACCAGATTCATGAACATCTTGCAACATATAATACATTAAGTTTCAAAACACCTTTCTCTCTTTTTTCTAGCAAATTCTTTAATTAAATCAAATGAACTAACGTTTTTGACTATCTTAAATAGCCTTCTTCACATTAAGTATAATTGGAACGTCAGTTAAAACATAAAATTTGAAACATCGAGATTTGTTCGTGTTCTTATGGGTCATGGTTTTACAAAAAATTGAGCCAGACTTATAAAATCATAACCAAGAAGGTCAAAACAGATTTAGCATACAAACGTAACCAATCAATATATAAATGTCTTACCAATGCAAAAGATAAATGCAACAACGCCAGAAAATCTGTAGTATACTCGGTACCACTAGACAATAGGTTTAATATCAACAGGAAGTTAACATATACAGGCTCAACAAACAGATTGTTAACAAAAAGGATAGTAGAGCATAAGTATGATACTTATAATAATAAGTTTAATATCACTCTAGCCCAATATGCAAGTGATCCGTGTATAACAGCAAAATGGAAAGCTAAGATTACAACATCAATATACGACAATGGCAAATTAAGAACACTAGAAACATTAGAAAGTTTTGCAAAATCCCTTAAAAGAAATTGCATTAATAGCAAGGATGCTGACTAGTTATCTACAGCTTGGCAATCGCTCCTAGATAACCCCTTAAAGAAAGTGGGCTAATTTATCTATCTTCTCATTCTATAATATAATACAATAGAAGGGTTTGAAGTATGAAATTAGCTAATCTTAATGTTTGTTCTTATTTCTTGCCCAGGCAATGCCAGGATTACCTGCTAGTAATAATAGGTACTCTTTGATTTACCGGGTGCCAATCATTTTTATTCCTTTTTCAGAATAAACAATGTTTTATTTCACATTTTTTACACAAAGATTCATTCATTCATTCATTAGTTTAATTGTACATTTAAAACAAGGTACAAAGTCCTGCCCCGCAGTGAGCATTACAGGAACATATCCGTTACATAGTTCCACCGAGTTACAGTATGCACTAATGAACAAAGCAAAGTGAAAAAAAATAAATAAATAAATAAAATAAAATAAAATAAAAACACAATGACAATAAAAGACCTGAACAAAATATGCAGCAGCTATACACAAAGATATTAATTTATTACCATTATAAATTTACAAAGAAAAAGTAACTAGGAAATTAAATGATTTCAAAGAATAACATTTTACAAATTTTAGCCGTATCAAACAATGGTGTAAAATTTGATATCTTTTAAAATTGCCGTAAGCATTTCGTTTTTGGCTTGTTGTCTGCCAATTTTTATGGTAGTACAACAAATTAAAGCATTAGTACATACCTCCCTCACATAGTTGTTCCAATCCACAGTTGTACTTGGATTGATTCCTAACTTCATTTGGCAGAAATTACTGCAAGTTAATTCCGAAAATATATATGAATATATACAGTATAAATATATGAACTGTAAGGCATTCAAGAAAGTATACGTGATCCTTCAAACCAGTTACACACTTCTTTTCACGACAGGAGTGAGTATAGCACCTCCATCTTGGGACATCATAAAAGCAAAAATACAATGTCATTGGATGATTTTTTGAACAGCACCTTTTGCAAAATATCTTTATCTTGAAAAAAAATGTATTGCACTTTCCTCGTCATTGGGTAAAATCCAAAGTGTATAATCCATTTTAAGTAAAAAACAAAAAATGAAGTCAAAAGATTAAGTAAACACATTCAACACATCAATGCAGTCTGCTCCTTGGAGATACTTAATGCCTATCCATAAACCTAATTTACATAATCACACTAAATTAATGCTGCAGATATGAGGACCAGCACTATAAAAGGTATTATTATACTCCAATATTGATAATATTAAACATTCAAATATTAGTAATGAAGAAAATTAACAAGAATATGTGAAATTCTCACAACTTCAATAGTGATATTGTATAAATATGCTAATTATTTGCAGCGATAAACTTGTTTTAAGTGTTATTGTTGTTGACTATTATAAATTTTAAACACTATTAGTAAAAGGGTAAGTTTGAATCCAAATTCACTAAAAAACACAGTTTATTGTAAATTAAAGACAATTTTAAGAAGTAAGCATAATTCAAATGCCATCGATTGAATGACACCCAGTTAACAAATTAGTACCTAATAATATAATAGGTAATGTATATTGAACAGATTCACTGTTACCTGATCTTTGACTTTCTTGACAGAAACATATCCAACTAAGCTAGCATATATGTATCCCATTCTTGTATATGTTCCTTTTCCACCCGTATGATAAGAATCCTCTCGTTCCAATCTTTGACCTATGAAAAAATTTCCATACTTGAAAATTAATTTTAAAGATACTATTGTATTAATTCAAACAAGAGACAAAAATTTCATATTGTTATCACATGCAGTTTATCATATCATATGACATTTACTATTTCTTCCCTTTCCCCCTTTTGGAGGTTACGGCCATTGTATTTTCCTCGGACAAATAACCGAAGACATTCGTAACAAAAGTGATGAGCTGTCTACATATGCACAGGTAATCCAATTAAAGAAAGGGTTAATGTCCAGATACGTGGACTGTCATGGCGGCACTTCCTGTTTCAGCCTCGAAACCGGAGCGGTTTGGAGACGACATGTCACGTGACGACGCGAGCGAACGGTGGCGGCTGCTGCGCCGCGGCAGCGTCGGTGGCTGTCATGGCGCCTCATCGCTGATTCCAGCAAACAAAAGGAAACAGTGGGGACGCACATTCTAACCTAACCTAACCTATTCTAATAATATAATTGGTAATAATTATGCTGATTTATTAGAATAGGTTAGGTTAGGTTAGAACATGCGTCCCCACTGTTTCCTTTTCTTTTCTTTGCCGGAATCATAGGTGAGCTGCAGTGATAATCCACGTGTCTGGACTTTAAACAAGAAAAAAGAAAAGGAAACAGTGGGGACGCACGTTCTANTATATTTTTTATTTTTTGGAGTCTCTGGAATGAATTAATCAAATTTCCATAAAAACCTATGGTAAATCGATAATCGGTTAACAAACAATTCGGATTACAAACAAAGTCTTGGAACAGATTATGTTTGTTAACCGATCACCCACTGCATTTTAGTTTTATTTTTTAACCATTCTAAATGGTCATTAATTCTAACTTATTTGTTATAATTCTTTATGTCTCAAATACTAAAATAACTTAACAAATGCTTTTATTCAAACAATTTTTATATAAAATTATCATAAAATAGTTTCTTTTTAATCTTAAATTAATTTTAAATTTCCATTATATAATTTCCTGTTTTAATAACTGTTAACAATTACTAGATTTTAATACTCAATGGCAACTAATAAAATTTTTTTTAATTTACAAAAAGTATAGTAAATAAATTTGTTTTTAACAAATTTACCATAACCACATTCTATTTTCTTTAAATGAAATTACATTACTGTAATTACGTTAGAACATATTGAAGAATAAGTGAATTCTTCAACATTTGTTCTAAAATATATAAAGCATTTCTCGTAAAAAAAAAAAACATTATTTAAAAAGTAAATTAAATATGACATAAATACTATTAGAATGGCATGCATTAACTAAAATAACTTTTAATTTCAAAGTTTGCATTCTTGAAAGGATACAACTCTTCCTAATACAATATCTCCTGGTCGGAAACATTTATTTATTTCAACCTGTAAAATGTAAGATGCTTTATTATTATAATCATGTCAAAAATAAACAATACAATAATTTTATGTAAATATCAAGAATTCCAAGTCATTTTTATATATTTCAAAACAATAAAAACACTTAAATGTAAGTATGGAGTCTGTATTATTAAAAAAAAAATACAGTACTGTACTTTGGCCCCAGAGGTCCACTTTCACAGCAAAACTTGGATATGAACATTAGTTTCTGGGTGACAGGTAGCAGCATTGACAGATTTAACTTTATTCTTTTAAACTCAAAATACAATGCTTTTTTTACTGTATTAACCAATACTGAAAGGAAAACAGTTATATTTTTAAAATGTTTCATTCAAGTTGGTCAATCTCTCTTTAATATGACTTTTATCATTGGGTTCTTTACAGTCATCTAACTAAGACGTCAAAGTAGTTGGAAAATTTTTTACATTAAACATTTTAATTAATTTAAAACCGCTATAAGAACTATAATAAAATTTATTTCTTTAATGAAATTTTTCAAAAATTTAAGATAAATATTTGTTCAATTCAATAAGTAAAATAAAATGCTTCACAAAAAAAAAACTACTAATATTTTTTATTTTAAAAGTTTTTCAAACTTTTTTAAAACAAATAAATTAAAATTTTATAACAATTTAATCTAAATATAAAAAAAAAAACACTTTCTCTTATTAACAATTAAAATTAAGATTAATGTCAATACTACTGTGAATCAAAAGGGGTCATGAACACTATGGATAGTAGGAATTTTTAAGATTAATGACTTTAAACTATTGAAAATATGACAGTTAAATAAGAATAATTGTTTCTGGATCATATAGAATAGCAGATGGATACAAAGAACAACAAAGAAAATCAGATAATGAATTAGCCAGAATAGTTTCAACTTTCAGCATTGTTAACTGACAAGAGAAAAGTGATAGTGACCAAAACATACAGGGCCGATTGCAGAGACAACGTTTAGGGGCCGACGGCGGTTTACAGATCGGGTAGACCACTGTTCAGAAAAATTTCATTGCAGAGACAGCATTTCTCGCCTGCCACAATGTAGACAGCGATTAGAAGCAAGTTATTTGACCTACTTTCTAAACTCACTCAACAGCGGATTTAGAGGGCTTTTCAATTCGAGTGGTAGCTTTGTTCGTGGAAAAGTTTAGATAAAAACAGATATCATTCCTTTGATAAATGTTGTAAACGGTATGAATCGACAAAATATTCATTAATTAATTGCTTGAAGCAAATATAACAAAATTAAATACTTTAAACTTGTTTTAAATGTTCGAATTCCAATATTCAAATGGGTGAAGACTTAAAACTTCAATTAATTTAAATCAGATGCATTTATTTACAATTCGAGTATCGTGTCGGTTATAAAATGTTAATGCATTTCCGAATCATTGTACTGTTAAATGAGACAATTTTAATTAACAATTACAGAAATCTGTTTATAGATATAAAAAAATGCAATATTAATAACCTA